CGACTCGTCACCGTTGCGAATGCAGTGAACTGCAATCTAATTTCGTTCAGATCGACCAGTCTGACTGGCGACTTTTGCAGCAAGGCAGGGGAAAGTGAAACGTCTTGGCGCGAATGGGTTAGGTTGGTGTCGTTCAAATGCTACGGCAGCGACGGCCAGTTTATCGTCGTGTAAGTGATGCGTCGACTGGCCGAGATGGGCGCGCCCGGCATGGCGACGGAAGAGGGCGGAGGGGAGGCCTAGGCCTACCTAACCTTACGCACACTGCCACTGTCATATGCAAGATGGATCATGTACAGAAGATTTGGCCCAGGTACTGGTCATCCAGGATCGTGGCTGGATGCAATTTTCTTGCCTGATTGGGGGAACCGCGACGCGTGGTGAGCGATATTTGTGGTGTCTGGTGTGAGGTTCGGCCGTTGTTCTGATTTCCAGCAAGTCTTGGCACACCGCTCCGTGCCACACAGGAGGTCTGCCATGCAGAGAGGGACGCGCTAAGCTTTACGTCAGGAGCCAGGGTTTTTGTCAAGTACCTACTTTTCCTACTTACCTCGAGCAAGTACATGTATGCCTACTTCATATCCTACCTAGGTACCTAGGCAAAGCGAGGTCGCGTAAGGCAGGTCAAAAATGCCAGTAGGAAATCTCTGCTTTACGACAAAGCCAAAGAGGACGGCCGGGCCCCGGGCAACAGTCGAAATTGCGCTTCTCCGATAATCTGGTTCTGGACCACATGCCTTACGTACCGCAGTTACGAAGCGAGGGGGATCACGAGAGTCGGGACAGGGGGTCGCAATCGACGAGAACGAAGGACGGGGACTAACACCCTAGGGAAACCAAACCAAACCAAACCAAACAATATGCATTGCGACGGAGGAGTGACCCGGCCGACAGTCTCAAACATGACAGTCCCCCTAATTAATTAATTAGAAAAAAAAAAAAAAAGTAAGTTGTTACTTCACTTGGGGGGAGCTCGGAAACAGTGGTATGCTGTCAGAGAGCGTTTACTTAGTATTTGTGTGTATTCGTGGTCTGATCAGTCGTTAGTTGCCGAGGACTCTTTCTCGCCCATCACTGTCGCAAAGTGTTGCATCCCACCTCAGCGGCCCTCAAGATCCGCACGTGCATGATGAGAAGAACTTGGGACGTTTGGACATGGACTTCCTGTCTTGTTCAGGAGACAGACAACGGCAAAGTCGGGCTAGATCCGGCAAAGACACTGTGGAGGAGTGCAAAAGTTGAGACTACCTAGATGAAAAGAAGCAGGGATGAGCCGGCGGGAACATACCATGTGAGATTTAGACATAATTAGAAGCGTTGCGGGAACATTTCAGGTTGGCCCTAGGAACATGCCTCTTGATACGGCATCCTCTCAAGTGCCGTCTATTTCATTCCGCAGCCTGCGCCCGACTCCTGCTGAGTCGCCCCGAAACACGACACGACGGGGCCGGCGCGCTGGCAGGCATCCCAGGCGGAGGGAGGAAGCATGCTGCCGGGTACCTTTGCCTTTACCCGAGAATGTCTGAATACCTTACGCAGGATGGTTTGGTGTATGGTATGTACCGTGTGTGGTAATGGGAAAGTTGGTGTAGATACTTTGACAGCGTAAGTTTGATACCCTGATACCCTTCCACCGTCCGTCTCCAGACTCCCACGTCTCCCTCGCGTTCCGCTCCGTCCGAAGGAGACAAAGCTTCCTAACCGTCGGGTCTCTGTGTGTTTCCAGTGCCAGTTCTAGAAAGGTTCCATCCATCCAAGGTCCTGTGCCATGACCCGGGTGCCCTTGCACACATGAGCGGGCGAAGGCACGGGTTTTTGCTTCCCACGCCGCACCGCAAATGGGCGGTAATTACAGGCTTCGCACTGACTATCCGCCACCTCTCCGCTCCAGCAATTGCTCTGGTCTGGTCCCCGCGGGAGGCGATGTGTGAAGCCAGTCAGGCAAGGCGTGCGTGTATTTGTTTAACGTTATGCTTGTGTCTAAGCCTGGGCAGGGTAAGACGGCAGACCTGCTGGGTGATGATGGATGGGAAAGATGCTTCCACACACCACACTCACACTCACACATGGACATAGGATAGACACGGTGTATCGATCCACCGAGGTTTTTCTTTGGTGCAGAGGCTCGGTGTCCTGAAGCGGCATGTGAACAGGTGAGGATCTACACTACGAGTGATCTCCTTAGTCCCTGAGACATGGACTTTTTTCCAACGGGCCAGGGCAGCCAGTAGGGAGATGCCCTCAGTGCCCACAGTACAAAGCCACCTACTGGAGAGGTAGTAAGGGCAGCTATGAGGGTAACATAAGGGCAGAAGAGGCCGGAAACGTCAAGTACTAGCCTTTCTAGCGAATCAGAGGGCTACCTCTAAGCCTATACATCACCACCCATATAACCAAGCAGACGTTGTAGGTAGAGTGTGGCGGGCCCAAAAAGTCCATGTCTCAGGGACTAAGGAGATGGTCAAGGCCGCCCCGGTTTCCCACCCGCCAACCTTGCCATTCTTTCTGTTGGCGGATCGCTACTGGGAGTCTCACAATCCAGGCGGGCGGGCGGGCGTGTCTCACGGCAAGGTCAGCCATTCAATGAATGAATGTATAGTGACTTCTCTTCAGGGGACACACAGCACCAGATTGCGGTGTGGTGTGTACGCCAGATGATGGTCGAGCTACCAGTACCAGCGCCGTACGCAATAGGCCGTTCTTGAAAGTCTCTCTCTTTGGTGTCATGTCCAAGCCGACTGGTCGAAACAAGGCGCGGCGGGCTCCATTTCCCCAGTTTCCAGGCTGTGCACTGCACTTTGTTGGAGTCGCCGGCACCTTTGAAAACAAAACAGGCACCCCAAAGGTTGTTAGGCCCGCTCGTCGTATTATTTGATCTCTTAATTTCAGATTTGCTGCGCTAGGGGAGGAGGCAGGCAGGGACTTTACCCAAGTAGACTGCGCCCAGCGGCCTCCTTCCTTCGGTTCTCGAGGGCCGGCGAGGACATCGTTCAACGACGCCGCGCCGCCGCCGTCTTGCCGTGGTGCCGCTGCCGTGGTGCCGTCCCTTGTCTCGTCTTTCTTATTAGTACTCGCCTTGCCCTCCGAATGGCATGGATGCCCTTCAATCTTACCTCATCTTAGCTAATGCGCATCAGATCCGTACCGTGTCTGGGCTCGTGAAGAGCACTGGAGGTTGTTGCGCCGGGTCCCCGCGCCACCCCCGTAGCGATCTATTACCTCAAGTAAGGTAGTTCCTGTCGCAGTTTATTTCTCATTGCAGTGGGATATTTGCGACATTTATTCCGCCGGGCTGAGCTGGGCTGGGCCGGTCTGGGCTGCCTCGGGACAAGAGCGAGACGAGACGAGACGCCCGCAGAGTCGCAAGAGTCGGGGACGCAAAAAGGCGCATCATCGTCAGTCCCGAGTCGGGAAGGCAGGACAGCGCAGCGTACATTGCACGTCCACAGGTCATCCGTAATCCATCGTGCTTTTGTTGGTGCCGTCATGTACGGTACCTAGGTAGGTAGGTAGGGACCGATGAGGGTTGTGGTCCAGGACTCTACCTAGTTGCTGCCGGTGCCCGCTTTCCCGCTTGCCTCCCTTAGGCGTCCTCCACCCTGCTCAAAAGCTTCAACCAGCGCCAGAGCGCCCTCCTCGGGTTCCGTCTGTCCAAGCTTTTTAGGCTCCCTCCCTCCCGACGAACGAAAGAGGACGACGGGCCCCCTCACCCTCCCACCCCCGGCCCCATCCGTTTAGTGGAACCCCGCCGCCCTTGTTGCATCTCATTCTCCCCAAGTCCAGTCCCAGCGTGGTGTCCCCTTCAAGCTTCCAGCACCACGAGCAAGCACCTACACCGAAGAGGTATGTACTGGAAGGTACAGCAGTGAGCGGACCTGCCGCAGACTCACACAGGTTTACACAGTGTAGGGGGGTGGGAAACACGGCACGTCAAGCCAGCTGCCTCCTCCGCGCCTGCAATTGGACAATTCCTCCCCCTTCCTGCTCCTCCTCCTCCTCCTCCTCCTCCTCCTCCTCCTCCTCCTCCTCCTCCTCCTCGCCGCTACAAGCTGCGCCCGCCGTTCCTCTCTCTTGCGCGGGCAGTGAGTGGTTCCCGTCGAGTAAATAGAAGGCGAGATGCTCTGTAAGTCTCGCTCAAACGCCTCCAATCGTTAATTACCACGCCTTACCTTACCTAAACGTCCCGTCAGGCTCTCCACTCATTCTCTCATTCTCTTGTTCGGCACTGTACCTTAATTACCTTGCTTCCGGTACTGCGCTGCTGAGGTGCACTGCACTGCAATCCCTCGCCCTGTCTCGCCCCCATTGGTCTCCAGCCTGTCCTGTCTAGTCCAGTCCCTCGTCGTTTCTCACCCCAGGCCTGCCGCTGCCAAACGTCCATCTCCGTCCTTACTCCTACCTCCCCGTACAAATCCCAATTCTAACCCTCGCCCTCTTCTCACTCCATGCTCTCCCAGTCTCCCTCTGTCCTTCACTCTGTCTGACCTGGGTTCCCCCCCTCTTACCACCACACAACCACCACCACCACCACCACCCCCGTCTTTCTTGGCCCGGCCGCCTTGTCGCGCTCTCCCCTCCATCAACAATTCTCTCGTTCCTCTTTCGTTCGAAGCTTGCTCCAGTCAAGCTCCAACTCCCACTCCGCCGTTACCTCAGGCATTCTTCGCCTGCCTGCCCTCGGCTTGCATTGCCACTGCACCTATTAAGGTGCTGCTTCGCCATGAACCAAACGACCTACTACTAGGTTTCCGATCTCTCTTGCTACCCTCCAAGGCTTTCAGCCTTCAGCCCTCTCTGCCCCCCCGTTTTCCAACCTGACGCCGACAACTCATCCTTCTCATCTTTTGTTGTGCCCTTTGACCGGGGGAGGGTTGCAGCAGAAGCAAACCGCAGAAAACCAAAAGAGAGAGAAGGGGAGCCACACATACACAAACACCTGGCGACTCCAACCACCCCGTGAGACCCATCATCATCTCCAACTCGCTGGTGATCTGCTCGCCATGGCGCATGCCCAGGATTCCCAAGAACCTCATAAACGGAAACGGGACGCAGACGACAGCGGCAGCCAGCCAGCTCACTCCGATCGCATTCCCCAGCCTCCTCCGCCTCAGTCAGGTATGTGCGGTGCGCCAGTGTGTGTGATCCATGCCGAACTCCAACAACAAGAACAAGACAAGCGGAAAGCATGAGCCGTCGATCTCGTCCATCAACTGCAACTGCATCTTGTCATCGCGCCCGGAGGCAATCGAGGTTAGACTCGCCATTGATCCCTCGCCCCGGCCTGCCTGCCAGCGCCGCCGCCCTTGTTATGCCCCTTCCTCTCTGTCTTGTCTCTTCGCCTGTTTTCACTCGGAATTTGCATCGAGACCTCTGTGCCCGAAGCCCGTTGCCTTACACTCTCCCCTCGACCTCGTTCGCGCGCGATCCAGACTGCTGCCATGGAGCAAGTGCTAATCGTCACCTCCAAGGCAACTCATCCATCATCAACTACCTCTCCAAAGCCAGTGCTGGCAAGCTCAGGCTCATACAGGGCGAGCCTGACACTTTTACCGATGTTCTTGGCCTATTAAACCAGTATGAAGGTAAGATTTGCCCTGATCCTGATTCGTGTTACTGAATGCCAAGACTTAGCCATGAATAGGGGTACTCAATAGACATGAAAGTCTGGCAGCAAACTTGGGCGCGAAACTAACAGGCCCTCGCCTGCTCAAGGCTATGGAGGGTGCCTTTGAAGGCCCCATCATCACAAATCCGCCCGCCGCATACGGCGCGGCGTCTGTGGGCTGGCTGGACATTGTCTCATTTGCCAAGACGAATCCAGAGAAGTTCGTCTTGACCACCGGCCACGACGGAGAGCGCACTTGCCAGTTCTACTTGAACGGCTTGCAGGTCCAGATCCTGGAGGACGACTGGCGACTCATTATGAATGGTGCTCTGGACAGGTTTTCCATTGTCTCTACGGCCCCATTGGAAGAGGACGAGACGGCCGAAGTGGCCACCCTGGAAATCGTGGAACAACGACTGCAGGTGCTCATCAAGAAGGCCGACGAAATTGCCAAGAGGGCGCGACAATTAAACTACCATCTGAGTGGTCGAAAAGCCGGCATCAACTCACGCCACGGGGGCCAAACATCGAGCAACTCCACGTTCTCCTCCGTCAACCTTTCTCAACGTCATGTCGGCAGTCATGGTTCCGGTTATGACTTGCATGCCGATCTACTCCAGCAATTTCTATCAACATCTCAGATCTATCCTCCGCGCGTTCCATCGAGTGCCGGCCTAGAGGTTCACTCCGGGCAACATACGCCCCCTGCAACGAACCCTCATCCGCACTCGCTTCCTCTGCAGGGCCGTCCGCCAGTAGCAGTGCATCCCCCGGTCATCCCTCAGCGAGACTCTTCATACGACCCTTCATCCGCGCACAGAGGCATTATCACAGCACGAATCGAGAAGTTGAGCAAAGGGGATCAGATTTGGCCCCCGTGCGACCGCTGTCGTAGACTCAAATCGCCTTGTGTAAAGCATTTGACAGCTTGCCAAGGCTGCACTAAAAAGCACGCCAAGTGTAGCTGGAAGACTATCACAGAAGAAGAGGTTGCTTGGCTTAATCGCGAGGCAAGCAGCAGTGCCGATGAGGCGCACGTCGAGTCCAATCCATCAAGTCAGCCGCCGCCGCGAACATTAAGATACGATCCAACTCAGGATGATGGTCGATCCAACGACGAGGCGCCTCCTTCGGCAAGTCTGGTACCTGGCGAGGTTTCGCGACCGGCAAGCCGAGGTCAGCAAAGCCATCAGAGCCATCAGAGCCATCAGAGCCACCAAGGACACCGCCAGCGCTCTCCGATGGAGGCTGGATCCCGCAGCCGAACGAGTAGTTTCATGGATGTGGAACACGAGCCGCCGCCTAATGCGAAAACCTGGATGCCAGAGCCGCATCGCGGCGAGCAGCTTCCCAGCCTAAAAAGAGACCATTTGCTACTGAGTCATATGGCGTCGGCAGCGACTGCAGCGGCCGACGCCAGGGATGCCAACAATACACCAACAGGAAACCTAACGGGACGGTAAGACATGTGAAATGGTCTGCCGCCGAAACACCTGATATGGGTCACAACCTTTCAGTAATCCCATATGTTGCCTACGAGAGCAAAAGACAGCAGCGAGAGTTCGAGATCGAATGAGCGAAACAGGTATGTGCGTTGTGTGCGTGTGTATGTGTGTGCGCGCGATGCATTGCGGGGTACGAGAACAGTCGAGGGAAAAAGCAAAAAGGAAAACAAAAAACCAAGACAAATTCAGATACTCATAATGATACTCAATAAGTTCGCCTGTAAAACTCGCCTTTTGTTAGCTTGGCGATTTGCAGATGAGTTGTCCTGCGTACCATCAGTCTCCTCGTCCACAAGTGCCTGGTAATGGCACCCCAAGAAATTGATACACCCAATTGAATGTCGTTGTGAAGCCACAGGAAACGGATACCGCACGGGCCACATCAACCGGGGCTTAAGTGGATCGCATCAAATCTGAGCGTGGCGCGTTCACTTATCGATGGGAGAAAAAAAAAAGTTGCCCCAGCTCCATCAATGACGGCTTTCTCAACTGCCCGCTCTCTAGTTCACCAATTCCGCCCGCTTGATTTCCACGGCCTGGTATCAACGTGGGATTTCACAAAAGTTGCGTTTTCGCCATTCACCCTCAATCCTGGACATCGCGAGCGACCGCCATAAGAACTGTCCCCCTCCAGTCCCCCTCCAGTCCCCGCAAACCAACTCGTCGGTTGCGATCGCCACTTCGTCTGATGGCCCATTCTCCCGTGGCCGCCGAATACATGTCTGCAGCAGGCGACCGGGCGGCCTCACGCCGCGCCCCGGACACCACATCCTACCCAACATCCAGAGAAACGGGCGATGTCATTCCCGACACAAAACAGAACCCCTCTGTTGACAGCAAAGAGTCGCCATTTGCCAAGTCATGGGTACATTTCGTTGCTGGCGGGTATGTCTGCACCTTGGCCTGCCTCGTCCTCTGAGAGGAAAAGAAGAAGGGGAGAGAAAATCTGTGAATCTTCGGCGCTGACACTTATTGCTTGACACAGTGTCGGCGGCATGACAGCAGCAACCCTCACAGCGCCTCTCGACGTATTGAAAACCCGTCTGCAATCTGACTTCTACCAAGCCCAACTGCGTGCCTCCCATCAAGCCCGCGCCCAGGCAGTGGGCAGCCTCAGCCCTCTCCGAGCTGCCGTATTCCACCTGAAGGAAACGTTTCAAATTCTAGGCTCCGTCTATAGGATCGAGGGGCCGAGGGCTCTGTTCAAGGGCCTGGGACCCAACCTCGTCGGCGTCATTCCCGCGAGGAGTATCAACTTTTATACCTACGGCAACGGCAAGCGCCTCATCGCCGAATACGGCAACGGAGGCCAAGAGTCTGCGTGGGTGCACCTGTCTGCCGGCGTGCTGGCGGGTGTGACGACGAGTACTGCGACGAATCCCATCTGGCTCGTCAAGACGCGGCTGCAGCTCGACAAGAATGTGGCGGAAAAGAGCGGTGGGGTGACGAAGCGGCAGTATCGCAACAGCCTGGACTGTATTCGGCAGGTCCTCCGTACCGAGGGCTTCACCGGCCTGTACAAGGGCATGAGCGCGAGTTACCTTGGTGTTGCCGAGAGCACGTTGCAGTGGGTGTTGTACGAGCAGATCAAGAACAAGCTGGCCACTCGCGAGGAGCGCATCATCCGGAGCGGCCGTGAAAAGACATTCTGGGACCGCACGGTGGATTGGATGGGCAATGCTGGTGCTGCCGGTGGTGCCAAATTAGTCGCGGCCATCTTGGCGTATCCTCATGAGGTATGTTATGGATGATATAACGTCGCTTCTGGAGCATGTAGGAAGAACATTGCTAACATCACCCACAGGTTGCGCGAACCAGGTTACGTCAGGCTCCGATGGCTAACGGTCAGCTCAAGTACACTGGCTTGATCCAGTGCTTCCGTCTTGTGTGGGTCGAAGAAGGGTTTATGGGGCTCTATGGCGGTCTCACGCCTCACCTCATGCGTACAGTGCCGAGCGCTGCCATCATGTTCGGCATGTACGAGGGCATCCTCCGACTGTTCAATACATCGTCCAAGACTGGAACCAGCCTGTGAGAAGACGAAGGCGGGGTTTCCGTCCTCGTTGGCAAGGACGGGCCTCAAGTCACCACGACATTAAACGAAAAATAGGCACCACCACCATCACCCACCTCTTGGATATGTGTCTCTTGTACTATAAGCCACGACGATGAACGACTGCGACTCTGGGACAGACACGCTTCACTCACGCTCAACCCGCACTTGCATATTATCACCATTCCCTTCTCACTAACTTTTCTTTTTATGACACGTCTTCAATGATGACGGCACTCATCCCAAATAACCTCATGTCTTTACAGCGGATGTACGATACGGAGCGAGTGGCTCTAGACTTGGCGAGGCTCGAACGGGATTTGGAGGGGAAAACAATGCGCCTTGGAGAAAATTCACATCCTGTGATGGCGTATCAAGGGGTGCGGTCGTGTACGAACACAGGAAAACGCTATATGCGCCCGGGTGATCTCCTGTCATTCAAAAGAGGAGAAACCTGTGTATAACAACGTATATAAACAGCAGAAGTAAAATACTACACTACTGGGAGAAGTAGACAGGGTCATCGCGGCAGACCAGAAATCCCCTCCATTCAAAGGAGCGGGTGCAGAGCCACGGAAACCCTAATTTGACGTCACCTTGGAAAGACGGCTTGCTTCTTTCCCTACTCGACTGCACAATCACACGAAGCTGACATGTTTCGATTTTGAACTTGATTTTGAGAACGCCAACCTCACCCTCCCTCGAGGAGAAAAGCAACGCTGATGCGGTCCCCCTCGGCGGCTTTTTGTGCTCGGCGCGCGGGACATGAAAGCTATGAGCAGAAGGATAGCGCGGAAGGTCAAACGCAGAGGAACAGCAAATGATAGAATAATCATTTGGATATGAGAGAAAACTGGAAAAACGAAACGAATAACCACCAACCAAGTCCCACCCCTGCAGGATTGTCATTGTGTCCCCTCTTCTGCTGGTCATTCAAGAAGGGGGGGAGGGGGGTGGGTTTCTTCATAATTATCGGGACCGTTTTCTCAATTCCCGCCACCGCGCCTGGAGCATTTTGTCAGTCCCTCCAGCTGTGTATCGAAGCGATGGTGTTTGGGTGGTCGTTTGCGCAATTTGTTCGGCGTTCGCGGAGCTGAAGACGAAGAGGAGAAGGCGCCTGGCCAGCTGGCCCGGAGCTTCAGTCACCATGCATTACGGTCCCAGTTAGGATCTGTTTCTAGTGTTAGCCACATGCTCGCCTGTTGGCACTGCCAGCACTGTCGAAGGGATGTTGCCGGAGGGCCTTCTTGAATGACGTTCGTTCCACGCAAAAACCCTTGGAGGCCAAAGAGACAACCCACCTTGCACAAAGGCTGCCAGGACCTTGCTTCCCGTCTGCAGAAGCGGGTGGCCGACGACGATGCGGAGAAACTTTTCGAGACCAGCGCGGCGACCCTCGATGACGTCGTCGCTGAATCGGTTCGTGAAGACCTTGCCGGGCAGGGGCGGGATGGTCACGCGAGCGCTTTCGCGCTCGAGAATGTCGCGGAAGTATTCAAAGTCGGAATAGCGGCGGCGCACGCTCGAGGCTCGGAGCTTGAAGGCGGGTATGTTGGTGCGGCAGACGATCTCATAGTCGGTGTACATGCCGCGGCCCATGCCGTGGGTTCGGGGATTGCGGACCTGCGGCGAGGTGCTATGTTAGAGAGACAGAACAGGTGGGTTGGGGTGGCAGAGGAAGACGAGTTGAGTGTCAACGCGGCGACGCTGAGCGGCAGCGGTGATGGCGGACAGGGCGAGACGAGGGAGTGGTCGCTCTTACCTCGATCTCGAGGAAGTTTTCGGGCGGGCCGTAGATCTCATCGAACGACTGCTGTCGCGTATCAGGCATTGCCTGCATGATGGGCCGATGAAAGCGCGGCGAGGCCTGGCTGCCCGCCTGTGATCCGGTCGGAGATGTGGGAGAGGATGGCTCAGCGCCGGTAGCGCGAGCTGCGTTCTGGCCTCCGGAATCCGTTTTGACGGCTGATTGGGGGGCAAATCGATCGTCGAGGGCTTCGTCTTGGGGAGCCTAGCTGGAGGCTGACGTCGGCGCGATATCGGGTTTGCGACGTTACTGTTCTCTCCCCTGGTTGGTTATCAGTTGTTCGCGCGTGAGGTCGATTGAAGGCTGCAAATGAGTCGCTTGAGACTGGGCTTGTAGGCGTGTAGGAGGCGCAGCTGCACGAGGTTGACGTGAACGAGTGGCTTTTGCCAAAAAAGTTGAAGTGCGGGAGGGGGCGGGGGAATGGTGCGAAGGCGGCCGATTACGATAGAAGAAGTTCGGGTGGTGTTGAGCTGGATTGCGGGGGAGCAGCAATCTACAATCAAGCCCGCCCAATGGTGCCCGGCCGTTGTCCAGCGATTGAGGTACCAACAAATCTCACCTACCTACACTGGCCATGGATGGTGCACTGTAAGACGAGGGAGGCTGAGCCAATGTCTGTGGGGGCTACCCCCGCTCGCATGTTTCCGGCTCTTCGTACACGCTCACACTAACATCACAAATGTACGACGCCAACGCTGATGAGCCGCGCTGCCCGATTTAGCAAGTGGGGGGCGGCGACGGCTGTGAGCACGTCTACAATCTGGAGTATCTGGAATATTGGGATCACCAAATTCAGTCCTCATCAGTCTTGTCATATTTTGAATTATACATTTACAGAACATCGTGGTCCTGTGTGCCACGGTGTTGCCCAGCTTTGGCTCGGCCCAGATGCCAGCACCCCTCCCAATCTGATATAAAATTACAAAACATGTTGCTTGCGACCACTCTTCCGTTGCAAAGCAGCTTCAGTAACTTACACATTCCCCGTGGCCATAATAATCCCGAACAATATTGAGAAAAACAGCCCGGTGGTTGAGGTTGCGCCGGAAGCACATGCTGGAGAAGCATTGCATAAGTCCTGTGAACGCGAGTAACTGGAATGCCAGAATCTCACCTCCAAGCTCTTCTTGATTGTTTGGCATACGATGCTAGTTGCGACTGTTAAACCTTTATGTTGGCGGGCTCTCCATAGCCGAGACCTCGTGGAGAACACTCGTTCGCAAATCGGGTTTCTGCGGCAAAGGCAGTGACATACTCGCTGCCAAGCTCAGTTTTGAATGCCTCATTTTGATATGAAAAGCTCGCAGCGTTGCGACACATGAAGGACCTTCGCAGGCTGCGTGCGCCGTCTGCACCTTTTACTTCTTGTCTGCGAACCGTTGGTGAATCGCACGAATCTGCTCCTCAACGTTCAGGCTGTGCAGATGGTTAATATGCGCCTGGCTCTTGCCGTCTGGATTTCCGTCGAAACTGTGAATCGCTGCCTTCTTCCTCCGAGCGAGTTCCTCTTCCGACATGGGCTGGCCAGTGACCCCATCGAATACGTCACTTCTCTGACTTGCTAGACGTTTCAAGTTGTTGGCTACATCCGCCGTGGACAGATTTGTTGTTGCGTATCGCGCTTCAGCTTTAGCTCTTTGGTCTTTCCACTGGGGATCAAGAAGCTCGACTGCATAGATCGTTAATATTCACCCTGTCGCAGGTAGTGTAGGGGCGGAAAATGACTTACTTCGCATATGCTCGTCGAGCTCATTCATGGGAATCTGCTGTTTGCAGTTCGGACATAATGCCGTCTGCACGCTTTGCTTATTTGCATTGCGTTGCAATGCTCTGGGGACGTAGTTCTCCTTGATCTTCATCGGCGCGTTGCCTCCGCGAGCCTCCGCACGAGCCTGTTGTTCTCTGGCACGCGCCTCTGATCTCTCTTGTATCCTCCTTTCCTCTTCTTCCTCCTCTGCCGATCGCCGTGGTGGTCCATTTTGGTATTGTTGAGGCATCGGCAGGGGCTGTGTCTGGTACTGCTGTTGAGGCGCATAGCCCGTGTGAACTGGCAGCGTGTGAGAGGCCTGTGGGTAGGCATTATATGTCGCATCTTCTTCGCCTGGGAAAGCTTCCTCGATACGGAGGTTGGAACTGATGGATGCTTTATTTCTCTCTTCAAGCGACGCGTACTGCAAGTCAGAAAGGTTCGTTGGAGGCGGCAGGTTCGCATGGTCGTCGGCATCGGTGAAGACAATGGTCTCAACAACAACAAAGTCATTCCAATCGATTCGGGCGAATTCAGCTCGCTTTTTCTCATCCTCTTCCTCCTTCTTTTGCTTCTCTGTTTCCTGAAATTTCGAGTACTCGGCGCGTTGTTTCGCGCGACTCAGGACATGATATTTGTCGTCGACGTTTTGCCGGAGATAGGCGATGCGTTCTTGCTCCAGTTTTCCACCTTCGCCACTCAAACCACTGGCCCTCAATAATGCAGTGTACTGGTCAACTTGATGTTGGAAGAAGTTGTGGAACGTATGGTTGGGGATGAGGAACTGGAATTGCGGGTTTCCAGCCTCGCGCTGGGCGAGTTGGGTCATGAACTGGCGGCCGTTCTTCGCTACGAAAAGAGCTGTCAAGCGAATGACTTCCAGATCTTTTTGATTGATTCTAGGCATGCGGGCGGAAAATTGGAAATCGGGGGGTTTGGGAGGGCCCTGTGGCTTCTGTTCGGCGGGGGCAGCTGCTTCGTTCGCGCGACCAGCGGCTATAGCGGTGCCGCGACCGGCCTTGATTTCGTCGAGTCGCCATTGATAATAAGCGTGGTAGGCATCGGCGTCGTTGAGAAAGCTGAATTTGGGGTTGGAGCGCTCTTTGTCGCGAATCCTGTCTTCGAAAACCAGGCCGTTTCGGGCGACATATCCGGCCGTCTTCTCGAGAACGTTGCGAATTTCGCGCGGAGGAAGGACAACCCCGGTAGGAGGTTTCAGATTGTCCAGAGCAGTGGCGGCATCGCCATTCGTCGCAGTTGTGGCCATGACGGAGACAGAGGTGCGCGCAGTTGAGATTGTGAGGATGCAGCGCGTGGAGCTTTGCTAGGAGTCAAGCGCGCAGAACAAAAGCTGTTTGGAATACTTTTTTTTAGGAGACGCTCAGCCAGATTGGCCAGTGTTTGCCTTAGTCAGCAGTGGGTCGGTGGTGCACGGACCATTGGCTTGTCATATGCGAGTGCGACAAATTGGGTTTGTCTTGAATTGCGATATCTTCAATATAATACTGACGCTGGAAATGCAGAACAGTGCCAAGATGAACCAGTAAGTCTCACTGCTTATTCAAATAGCTCGAAATTTTAGCCGAAGATCATTGGCTATGTTATGTGGTGTATAGCGAATGAGGCATAAGGGCCCAGGGAGGGCAATTGGTTGAGCGAATAGCTGCCACGAACAAGGCGCTGATGTCACATGATCCCACTAATGTATGTTTCAAAGATCCCCATGTGAGTTGGCGAGATCAAGCCATTCGCTCGCTGACTGAGCGACTATCGATCCCAAGTAGACCCGTTCACTAACTACAGCCAACTATGAAGAATCCTGGCCTTTGAATAGAGGAACAAGACGACAGAGAAGGCGGGGAAGAAGAGGGGGGCAGTTCAACAGTCAAAGTATGCCTTACGACAAGATATACAAATAGGGTGGGAAACCGGCGAGAGCATGAAGGATGCGGAGCTTATGAGTCGAAGTGGAAGGGATGGCGCGGTGGTAGTGTGTGAAGTAGAATGCCTTACATATGCCAGCGTGCTTGAAAGTCCTTTTCAGCCTCATGGCAGCACGCACTGGCCACATTACATCCAAAGTGGGAATGGAACGGATGGATCCAGCGAGGGCGTCCAGTGTCCACGGTAACTCCTCACGGAGCAGCTGGAGAACAGAGGCCGCACGCTGACAGAGAACAATGGCAGCCACGGCCGCCGTCTGTACCACAGGATTGGCACTAGAGAGGGAGCACGGGCACCTGTGCCGGTGTTCGCAGAAGCTACGACAATGCAGGTAGCTAACCTAACTGTGTGCTTACCATGCCCAGTCGAGGTAGCTTTTCCCAACGCCTCCCGACTTGGAATGTAATTTGTGATGTGAACACTTGTCTTGTTCAGCCAACATGATGGGATTTGGGGGTCGGATGCCAATGCTACATCAGCCCCGAGGGCCGAGCTTCATAACAAGCGAACCGCGTAAAGTGCTTCCTCAGCTCAGGTAAGGTAGGCAGCCCCCGACGGATCAGTGGGAGTGGGGGCACGCCTTCATATGCGCGTCCACATCGCTGGGGACACCTAGACCTGGCCATTGACCTCGATCTTTTGACCCCATCTTCAGACCTAGCCTACTTCTCCCTCTTCCACTCCGGCCCTGCCTCGATGCTTGCTGGGTGCCTCGAGACATCCCAGGCTTCCTTGTCTTGATGCGTGCAACTTAGAGCAATAAGCAATCCGTGAGCTGTGAGACCCAAGGACACGACCCTGTTGTGATAAAGTGTAGCGCGTAAAATTAGACACGTTGGATCCATTGAAAGTGCCCCCAAAGGCTTAGGGCAGGGGGGGAGGCAAAGCCCAAAGTAGCAGACGCGACGTCGCGTCGAAGGACAAGCCGCATGCTGGCTGCACAAGACAGCTGTGGGCCAGCCAGGGTGAGCGGCCATGGGGAATCGTAGAGAGGATGCGAAGGGGGCGTGGAAATCATCCAAGGGGTGATCGCGAGAACCAGGCAGCTCCCGGGTACGCCCTAGCTTCAACCAATTGCTGGCTGCCAAACAGGCCACTTCGCTTTTCGACCCTGACCCCCTAATCCCTCCATTTACTCCCTTCCAGCCTGTTCACTGTTCTCCCCCCCGGCTGTCATCAGCTAAACTTTCCGTCACCAGACCGGATTGTCCTGACTTCTTCTGTCCCTGAACCTCCCTTTTTTTTTCCCTTTGGCCCCTTCACCATACTTTCGACTACAACTTCCCGTTGAGGGCATTCATCAAGGTCGCCCGTCAACCTGCCTTGCACGAATGACGGCCTTTTAATGCTTGTCTTTTCTTCTTGACTCTCGTTGATTCTCTTCCTACTTCATTTGCGATCCATCCTGCCGGGGAGAGAGGGGAAAAAAAACCCTCCATAGGTCTCCCTCCACCATCGCCGTCGACGTCCCCCGTCGTCGCTCCTTCCCTTGAAGGACGACCACCAGACCACCTACCCCATCGATTTCGCCTGGTCTCCTTCCCCCTGCGATCTGATACCTCAACCATGGCTGCTACCAAGCCCGTCCGCTCCCCGAGCCCAAGGCTCGAGAAGCACGCCAATGGCAAGACCCCCGTGAGGCGTGAAAAGAGCTATAAATCAGATGGCGTCGATGACAATGACGTCTTCCTCCTGCCTGTCTCCGACTATCAGATCATGATCCTTCTGACCGTTCTCGCTGCGGCCGTTCGCCTGTTCAGAATCTACCAGCCCACCAGCGTCGTCTTTGACGAGGTCCAGTGAGTCCACACAGCCTCCGAACTTCCCAGTCTGAACCGTCTCTAATCAGGTCTCCTCTCCAGCTTTGGTGGCTTCGCTTCGAAATACATCAAGGGCAAATTCTTCATGGATGTCCACCCTCCGTTGGCTAAGATGCTTATTGCGCTGACCGGCTGGTTGGCGGGCTTCAACGGCGATTTCGACTTCAAGGAGATCGGCAAGGACTACCTCGAGCCTGGCGTCCCGTATGTCGCCATGCGCATGTTCCCTGCCGTCTGCGGAATCCTTCTTGCTCCCCTCATGTTTCTGACCCTGAAGACCACCGGGTGTCGCACAACCACTGCCATCCTGGGCTCCGGTCTGATCATTTTCGGTATGGCATCTGCAATTCATGTCTGAAATGATTTACTAACGTAGACATGAAGAAAACGGTCTCCTCACCCAGGCCCGCCTGATCCTGCTTGACTCCCCACTGATGGTCGCGACCGCTTTCACCGCCCTCGCCTTCCAATCATTCACGAATCAACACGAACAGGGCCCTGAGAAGGCCTTTCAGTTGAGCTGGTGGTTCTGGCTTGCTATGACGGGCCTCGGTCTCGGCGTTACTTTCAGTATCAAGTGGGTGGGTCTCTTCACCATCGCCTGGGTCGGAAGCTTGACCTTGGTCCAGCTCTGGGTGCTTCTCGGAGACACGAAGAACGTCACGCCGGTACGTGTCGCTTACATTCAGCCCCTGTATACTACTCGGAACTAACACATACACCAGCGCATTTGGGCCAAGCACTTCATGTCTCGCGCCTTCTGCTTGATCATTATCCCTTGGGGTTTTTACATGGCCATGTTCGCCATCCACTTCCTTTGCCTCGTAAACCCTGGCGACGGCGATGGTTTCATGAGCTCCGAATTCCAGTCCACTCTCAACTCCAAGGGCATGCAGGATGTCGCGGCCGATGTCGCCTTTGGCAGCCGCGTCAGTATCAGACACGTCAATACTCAGGGTGGCTACCTGCACTCTCACCCCCTGATGTACCCTACCGGTAGCAAGCAGCAGCAGATCACTCTGTACCCCCACAAGGACGAGAACAACGTGTGGCTGCTCGAGAACCAGACCCAGCCCCTCGGTGTCAACGGCGAGCAGATCAACGGAACCCTGGCCTGGGACAATCTGCCGCAGCCAGTTCACATTAAGGACGGCGATGTCATCCGCTTGTACCATCTGCCCACCTTCCGTCGTCTCCATTCCCACGATGTCCGCCCTCCTGTTACGGAGGCCGACTGGCAGAACGAGGTTTCGGCCTACGGTTACGAAGGCTTCGAGGGCGATGCCAACGACTTGTTCAAGATTGAGATTGTCAAGAAGCAGTCTCTTACCCCAGCATCCAAGGAACGTGTTCGCACCATCGAAACCAAGTTCAGACTCGTCCACATCATGACTGGATGTGTCCTCTTCTCGCACAAGGTGAAGCTTCCTGATTGGGCGTCTGAGCAGCAGGAAGTCACTTGCGCCAGAGGGGGTACCCTTCCCAACAGCCTTTGGTATGTCGAGTACAACGAGCACCCTCAATTGGTTGGCGACAACGTTGAGAAGGTTAACTACCGCCACCCGGGCTTCTTCGGCAAGTTCTGGGAGCTGCAGAAGGTCATGTGGAAGACCAATGCTGGCTTGGTTGAATCCCACGCATGGGATTCTCGTCCTCCCTCTTGGCCAGTACTCAAACGCGGTATCAACTTTTGGGGCAGAGACCATCGTCAGATCTACCTGATGGGCAACCCAATCGTCTGGTGGAGCTCTACTTTGGCCATCGTTGTCTACGTCCTTTTCAAGGGTGTCGCAACTCTGCGTTGGCAACGCAGCTGCAACGATTACAGCAACGTCACCTTCAAGCGTTTCGATTACGAGGTCGGCACCGCAGTACTTGGCTGGGCCTTCCACTACTTCCCATTCTACTTGATGGAACGTCAGCTTTTCCTTCACCACTATTTCCCGGCCCTCTACTTCGGCGTCATGGCCTTGTGCTCCGTCTTCGACTTCGCCACCGCTCGCGTTTCTTTTGCCGGCATTCGCAACAACCCAATTATTAACCGCGCCAGCGCTGTCGCTTTCCTAGCCTTCACAATCACGGTGTTCATGCTCTTCTCCCCCTTGGCCTACGGCAACCCCTGGACCAAGGCCGAGTGTAACAGGGTCAAGTTGTTCAGCTCGTGGGATTTTGACTGCAATACCTTCTACGATAACGTAAGTAACACTACCGCTCACGTGCCGGGACAGGGCATGCCCGAGAGAGGACTGTAATAGTTTGCCAATTGCCCATGTAATGCGCTTTGGTCCGGGAAAGTTCATAGCCAAATGCCATTTTCGATTCGGCTGAGCGATGTTGGGTCAAAGTGACGGTACATTGAGGCTAACATGACTTTCTTGCTGCATAGTACTCTCAGTATACTGAACTGCTCACCCGCACCTCCGCCGCTGCGGCTCCAACCCCCGCCAAGTCCGAGGCTCCAGCTGCTCCGGCCGGCGGCCAAGTTGGCCAAATTCCAGTTGGCGAGGCCCCACAAGAAGAGCAACCAGCAGCAGCCGAGATGTCGGAAGCCCCGGCCCAAAAGGTTCTCTCTCGCGAGGAGCGCGTGGAGTACCGGGACCAGGACGGCAACCTGCTCGACGAGGAGCAGGTCAAGGCTTTGGAGGGCAAGGTCGAATTCAAGACAAAGTACGAGACGCGGACGCGCGTCGTCGACGCAAGTGGGAACGAAGTGCAGATGCCCGAAGGCGGATGGCCGCAAGAGCTTGGTCAAGAACAAGGGGACAGCGTCGCCCCGCCTCACCCGGATGTTCAGGGTGTCGATCAGGAGACCAAGTCCAAGTCTACAGAAAAGGCAGAGGACTCAGTCGTTCCCCCGGCTGCCGAGAGCGTCAAGGGTGCCAAGGAGGCTGAGCAAAAGAAGGCCAAGCCTGCTAGCGAGGGCGGCAAGGAGGCCACCGCCCAGGAGGAGCTTTGAGTATGAGAATACGATGTAACACCTCTCCGCTTGCTGGAGCTACCACATGCCGGGGAAAGATCCAGAACGACGGGTGGTACGGTGGGGGGAAGAGGCAAGAGATCCAGAAGCGGAGGTATAGGTGTTGAGGCATCGTTCCTTGCACCAAACCCAGTCGGGATAGATGTCACGAACTGTGCTTTCCAGCAAACCCCAACATAACCCCGTTGTCCACGGAGTACAAGGGGATTCCGAAAAATAAGGCCATAAAAATCGAGGTTTCATTTGTTGTCCAAGAGCTAAGCAAGACGTGCGTGCCCATGTATGTAAACAGTCATCACAGGAGGTTCAATCTACGTCATGACGATGGTGTTGTCTGCATTTTCCCCCTCATGATTCAACAAGGACCAAATAAGCTCTGTTGCGTTGTTCCTTTCGACAGGTCCCAACTGGTGTTGACACAACTACAAGGTCAAGGTTGACGTGTTGATGGGAATGCCTGTCTGAAAACTGTCATTCGGTCTCAGTTCGTTTTTTCTCTTTTGACATAGAACGAAGTGCTAGCTTAGATTCAGGTATGCCTTCAGGTGCCCCTGAATCCCCGCTTGGTGGGCGCTTCCTTGCCTGTTCTCCCAGATGCAAGGGGTATGCCATTTGACCCAGAGTGGAAATTGGTGAGCATGCTTGTTAAGGTAGCAATTAAAGTAAGCAGCGCAAAGGGCGTCTTTGTCTGTCATTCACGTTTGCATGAGAATCAGAGCTAGGGACTGGGTGAACAACACAACATCTTCTCCTTGTGTCTGGTATTATCCGCAGTGCAGCGCGCACTGATTAGTGTCTGTGTCCCGTCCACCTACTCCGTCCGTCTAACGAATGCCTGTCCTCTGACCTGCGATGATAACTGTGACGGTTGCTGTGCGCTTCGCAACTCAAATTTTCCTTCTCCAAAACGCCGTTGCCATTCCAGGAAAATGAACAGCCTGTAACGTTGTTTCCCAACCCATCCGAACCAACCAGAATCACTCTTGTCCCCAAGGATCCCCACCAAACCCTCCCATGTGGCCATCATCAGTAGCCCCGGCATTACAGCTTCGTGGCATACGGCATAGTAATACAGCATTGAATATTAGGTGTACGTCCTGGCAACTCAGGTTTTGCTAGGGATGAAAGCTCGCAATCGCGCGTCGTTTAATCGGATGTAATAGTTGCGGTCGGTTCCGGAGAGCTGGGAATGCTGAGCGACAGACGCTTCTCGCCGTCCTTTGCTCCGTCCTTTCCTTCATTGGCAGCTGTTTCGGGTGCCAGCGACTGTGTGGACTTTCGGTTGCTTGTGTTCGGGGTTTCTGGCCTCGTAGGCGGTGCTTCAGTTTCCTCCAGTGTGTCCGCGTCCTTGACATCGGACTTGTCTACTCCTGGTTTCTCCTCGGCTTCGACGATAGCCGGTACTTGAGCAACCGCCGGCTCCACGTTCTGTGCTTCACTCTCATGACTTGAGCGAGGGCTCTTTTCTGATCCGGATGATGCAGGTTGGCTTGCTGGGATAACTCCGCCGCCGATACGAGACCAGAACATCTGCTCCCTCAAGCGAACACTCTCTTCCCATGCAGCTTTCTCGGCGTCTTCATCATCTGCACGCCAATGGCCATCTTTCAATATACGAAGAAAGTTGAGGAAGTCGCATGTGGATCTGACGCGTCCCAAGCAGTACTTGCAGAGAGGGTAGCGCTGCGCTGACTCCGACTCGTTGGTTCGAAAGCGGTACGTCCGCAGATGTTCGTCGTCCTTGCGCGAATCGCCGCATAGAGAGCAAGGGTAAAATTGAGGCTTCACGATTGACGCAAATGGCGCGTTCGCAGGGATGGGCTCCACGACAATCGAGCCGTCGCTCATGGCGTTCAGCACGCTGCGTCGAGCTAGCCAAGACAGCCCGGGGGCAATATCCAATCGAAGTGTCGGTTCGACATCCTCTGCCAGAACACGCTTGAAGAATTTGGTCTCCTTCAGTGCTGGTGGAGGCGGGCCCAGGTTTGCTGAGGCGGTGCTAGAAACGGAAGCTGGGGTATTGGGGGTCTGCGGCGAAGATGAAGCAGGTGTTCCAGCGGTGGAGAGGGAAGCTGTTGATGCATTTGAAGGGTGTGCGCTCGAAGTGCTGCCACCCATGCCGAGACCAAGGCCGCTAATGCCGTTGAAAGAGCCAGACGAAACACGACTACCAGCACGATTGCGCGAGATGCGGGTAAGAGCGACAAAATCCTCGTAGGATCCCAAGTCCGTCCTGAGAACAGGCTGGATAAGATGGGTGAGGCTTGTTGGATACGTCGGTGAGGAGGGGTCAACGAGAGGCGAGGCGAGCACGCCGTCGGGTCGTTCGTCATCCTTGAACTCAGATTTGCTGAAGCCGGGAGATGAGGGTGCTGTTCCGGTCGTGCCTTCTTCCCTTTCCAGTGCCATCTGCTCCATGACCTGCTTGAGATCGGCAAGTTGCTGTTGCTGTGAGGTCAGCAGAGCCTCCATATCGCCCAACTGAGACCTCAAGTTGTCGTTTTTCCTTTGCAGAGCCTCCTGCTCAATACGCGCCTCTTCCTTGGCCGAGATGACCATGTTGTTGGCCTCCTCAAACAAGGCGGTAGTAAGGTTTTCCAGCTCCTGCTCGATCTTCTTCTTTTCCTTTTCGACGTCCTCTCGCAACTTCCGTTCGTTTGTCACACGCAGCAAAATGGTCTTCTTCTCCTCCTCGACAACCTTTCGACGCACCCAGATGTCGCCGGCGAGCATTTCCCGTTGTGACGCATTCTGCTCTTCCAAATGCTTGATTTGCTCGCGGGCTCTCTCCAATTCCTGTCTCGTAGCGGTTAACGTGTCATCGAGGGTCGTCTGGTGATTAATGGCGTTGATCAGCTTTGTGCTCAAAGTAGCTACTTCGTCGTCGAGATCGGGATGGTGGGAGGTATCGGCGTCGCTCGCAGGGCTCATAGCGCGGCTACGGGGGTCGGGTAGAGTACTAAGTTCGCCTTCATCTTCCGGGGGCGAAACGGGTGTGGGTCGCAGAGATGGCGATGAAGGTGTAGACGCCAACGAGGAGGACATAATGGGGACGTCCGCAACGGACGGTGCCTTGCCTGTGATTCTCGTAGCCTTAGGGCTCGGAGATGGCGATCTGGCGATGGAAGAGAGGGACCTGAAATGGCCGAAAGGTCTGGAACCGGGTTGGGGGCTCGTATGCTGAGCCCAGCCGGCAACCGCGATGAAGGAATCCATAGGTGGCAATGGCGGTTTTCCTGGTTGTTGTGACAGAGCGGGCTGTATGAGATGGCAACGTCAAAGAAGTGTCTAGAGCAGCCTAAAAGGGGGCGTTGGTGAGCCTCAGATGAAGCAAGACGACATGGCGGTGGTGTCGGTGCAGGTTCTGGAACTGGGAAATTCCGGTGCTTTGGTCGACAACGGTTGAGGGGATGATGGCGAGCAAGGTGATTAGATCGGTAGCTACGTAGGGTAGGTAGGTGGTGTGGTATCGATGGCGGATGGTGGTTCGTGATCGTGATGGCAGCGTGATTAATCGTATCGAGGCAGGTGAGAAGAGGGGTTCGTTGCAGTGGTGATCAAGTAAGGTAGGAAAGAGGAGAAGAGATGACAAGTGAGGCAGGCAGGCAGAGGCGAACAGAAGTGAAGCCGAGGGAGCAGCGGAGCGGGCCAAGCAAGCCTTTGAGTCTTTTCCAGTCGTGGCAGGAGCCGAGCTACGAAGCAGGGTACATTGTACGTTGAGTTAGCTACCTACCTTGGCTGCGTTGCGGCGACCAGCGGTGCTTGTGCAAACGCAAGTAAGTGTGCAAGTACAAGTGGACGAGCGACGGCGGCAAAGCGAAAAGAAGCCAGCCAGAGAGAGAATGAGATGGGCAGCAAAAGACTGGGGACAGGGACCAGGACTGGAACTGGGCGGATGACATGGGTGGCATGGATTGGACGGTTCAAACGTGACAGGGACTATCCTTTCTTGCTGGGGTGGTGGGAGCGCCGGGCGCACGCACTTTTCCAGGTCTCAAAAGGTCCACGTCCTCATCCCCGTCCCCGTCCCCATCCAGGTCCATGTCCAGCTGCCCTCTTTCCACCTCCATCTGAAAGACGGACAGGCAACTCGCAGGCAAATGTTGATATGCACGCCCGATTTTCCTGACGGCACATCATTCATCAGTGTGCCAGCGCCCGCCGGTTCTAGGCAAGGCGAGTGTGTAGACAGGAGCCACTGCACCTAGCCACGATGCACTTGACCTTGACACACAAATGGACGCCCGTGAAAGAGCTCGGCGGGAACGGTACTGGGCCGGGCTGGACTGGGCCGGGATGGCCATGGCCAGGGCCACGCCGGAGCAGGGGTGGAGGCAGTGCAGTGCAGAGCAGAGTGTGTGCAGCTGCCAGCGGCAGCCAGCAAACAAGACGAAGTGAGCGAAGCGAAACGAAGCGAAGCGATGCAGGTGTCCGTCATCGCCCATCAGCCATCAGTCAGTCAGTCAGTCAGTCAGTCAGTCAGTCAGTCAGTCAGTCAGTCGGGTCAGTGCCAAGTGGCAGGCGGTAGCTGAGTGTGACGACAACCTACTATGCAGTACCTGGCTGAACCACGGACTAGTGCACCACCACTTAGCCACTTGGTTCTTAGTGTGCGCATCCATTGCCATCGCATGTTGCGGTGTTGCACCGGGCCCCGAGAAAAGCAGACGCTGCAGCGGCTTGTGACGATGTTGCTGTGGGGTCTGCTGTCGGCTGCCGCTTGGTCGGGAGTGGGTGACGGGCCTGACAGCCAGCACAGGTGAGTTGAGGTGAGGTGACTTCAAGTGGGCAGACCTACGTACCTACCGCCCAGGGGTCCAATGTGCCAGTGTCGCTTCCATGTCGCTGAGATGACGACCAGTTGAATGATTCGCATTCGCCCCCAGATGCCTCCGCCACAGCCACAAATCAATCAAAAAATCAACTCCGTCATTCCCGCCGCGTAAAAAGGCACCCGCCCTCGGAGCGATTCGTATCTG